GTGTGAGTGGTATCAGATCCACATTTATAAAAATCAGGATATTTTTAAGTGTCTGAACAGAAAGACTGGTAACCCCAGTAAAAATTTTGGCTCATGTAATTTACTTTCTAACAGTTTTGAGACTGATCTCGCCAAATGACTTAAATCTACGGCATCCTCACTTATGCAATCCTTATTTAGTCATTTGTGTGATTTTCTTACACTTGTGTTTAATGAAATCTTTTAAGTTCTTCACTTCTTTTTTTTTATGACCCTCTTTTGAGTGTGGCATGGCATCCTGCCTCTCAATAGAATTATATTAATGTGCTTAAGATAGGACAAACCATATGTACATGCCAGATCCAGTGTAGATAGTGTAAAAACTTTTTGTTACCTTCATAGAATGAGGTAATTTTCATGTCCATGAACATGAGACCCACCTATAAGTCAAGCTTCCCAGCTGTAACAAAATGTTCTCCTGTTATCTTTGTGGTAGAGAAGGAAATTTCAATTTCTATTTTCTGGATTATCGTGTTCTAGTAACCAAGATTAATTCTATATCTGTATAATGGGATGCATTTGGAGAAAAGTTTGAGTCACTACCTGTAGTCCATGGCTTTACGGTCCTAGAATATTTCGACCTCTCAGTCTTTGGGAAGGTGAGGGGGGTGTTAAGCTCTCAAACGGAATGCTTGCATGTTTTCCACCCGCTTGCTTTTTAAACCTAGATAATTAGCTGGGGCCTAAGTAACCATATTTCCAAATGACTCCTTGTGAACATGGTCTTCTGTTTCCAGAATCTCTGTACGGTTGCATAGTCCCACAAGCTTTCTTCCCCATGCTACATACTAAAGATTCTTAGTTGATTTCTGTATGACAGAAAATAATAAATCTTATGTGTAACTTAAATGCTGAGTCATTGTACTTCATTGACCTTGTGGACTGCTGCCATCAATTTTTATTTGTGCTCTGTAAATTGAAAAAAAAGTGTTCCTTTCCTCTTCTATCATCTGTTTAGTGGACCTTCTTTTTCTCCTCTAAAAGGAAAAAACTACTTTTTCTTGGATCATGTCATTGGAGAACAAGACAGGTGATGTGTGTGAAGGCGAACAATCAGTTCTCATATAAAAATCTATAGAGAAGGGAGATACCTATGCAACTGCCCTACAAAATCAAAAAATTACACTGATTTAGAACATACAGGATATGGCCCAGGAGAGTGTAGAGAAACACTAATTTAGTGAAAGATTTTGCCTTGTCATAAATTAGTTATTCATCCAAATGCTTAAACCATTATCTTCATCATATGGGAGTTCTAATCCCAAGATCCTTCTATTCCTGCCTAAATGAGGTTCTCTGCTCTGCTCCCAGGAGTTATTTGATACACTGTCAGACACAGCCCTATTCTTTCTCTCTCTTGCAGCTTCAGCTGTATGTGAAATGCACCATGTAGGTATGTGGAAGAGGAATGCTTCTGAGATTTAAAGCTAAGACTAGCAAAATGTCAGAAACTGTCACAACAGAGATAACTGTAAGTAGTAAAATAAATTTAGCTCATAGTATCAGGTAGCACAGGATCCCTCAAAGTCACTTTTTGGAAGGGAAACTACTGGGGAGAAGAATGCTCTGAAGCATATGCAATCCAGAAAAACCTATTTTCTTCAAGTCCAAGCTCTATGTAATTAGCTTTCTGACATAAGGCTCATAAAAAGAGAAAGCCAAGTCATGCAGTGAGATTTGCACTCAAACGGCATTGCAAAACAAAATACTACCAGAATTGTCCCTTGAGCAGTTCCTAGCCCAGGGGCTCAGCACGTCCCACTGCGTAAGACTTGGACCAGATGAGTGTTAGGCTGGGGTAGCTCTTACACAGGAGGCAGTGGGGTCCGTTCCCCTCACAACTTTCTAACTCAGAAGGATTCTTATTTTCCTTTCAAACGTGAGCTATTGTCAAATGTAATGACAGGCAGAAATATATTCAGTTAAGTTTCCAGTATAACTTTTTGCCAACTGAAATTAAGATACACAGAATTTATGCAAGTTAAAATGTAACAACTGGAATCAAAATACTGACAGGAAGATGCTTCTGCTAAGGTTTTGGGTTTTCTCATTGTCCCACACTTATCCATCATTGTACTTTGATGTCTCTCAAGTGGGTATTTTGAGTTGGGGGGTGGGAGGTGTCCAACTTCAAGTACGATAAATGGCTATAGGGGAAAAAGGCATCTGCTGGTATGCCAGGAGCCTAAATCCTAAAACTTTTTTTTTAAAATGTAATAATTTATCCTTTTATGTACCTTACATTTCTAACAGTATTACACTGAAGGAAACAAAAATCTACTCACTTGTTAAACATATTTACATTGTGAATCGTCTTTTTATTCTGTTCTATTCTATTCTATTCCCTCCTGTTTTTTCTCCATCTGAATTATTGCAATTCAATTAATGCATGTACATATTAGACATATTCCAAAATACGAATTCAGATACACTATAGTGTTATAAATCAAGCATAACCACCACAACAAACCAGTTCCTACTCTTTACCGCTGGGATTTCTCTAGTACTGAAACACAAATTCATTCATAGTGTGCATGACTTCAGACTTCATGTTGGCAGATGTCAGCGGGATCATCAGTCCTCATCACAAAACTGCCTTATTATTTTATAATTGTATTTTAAAATAATTCCTGATGTTCTTAACTCCCTGATTTTTGTATGCAGTCAGAGCACATGGCTCCACTGTGTTACAAGGAAACAGCTTTACAGTTTGTTGGTCCTGGCACAGCTCTCCAGAGCACTGTAGCCAGAATACCTCATACATTTGTTATTTTCCTTTAATTTGCTGACTTTCACATTTGTACTCCACAGAAATTTAAAAATTCAGTATTAGAAATATTTGACTCACTATCAAAAGTAGCATGACATGTCCATACCCTTGCAGTGAGGGGCAACTGTAACTCGGGTGCATCTGACCAAGAGAAGCAGGAAATCAGATGTGAATCCATTTCTTATTTGTCTGAAACAAAAGCAAGAGTCATCTTTAAATCACTATGTCTAATTATTTCTAAGCAAGCCAGACAATTTGCTATTTAAGTGTATAATTTTTAATATATAAGTGAGGTCACTTTCTTCTATTTTGAAATGCTCTAAAAAGAGTTTAAAAAGGAAAAGCTTTTACTGCCATCTCAGCTTTTCAGTAAAAATACCAGTTTCAGTAGATAGGCATGAAGTCTAGATTCATATACTGGGTAAAGAGCAGAGCTGGAAATCAATGTTCTTTTTCAGTACTTTTAATGACTCTACACTCCAGCTCTTCTTTATCATATAAAAGAAGTACTGTTTCCTCTTACAGGATAAAAAAAGAAGCTCCAACATTCTCAGTACTTTTCTTTCACTGAAAGTGGTGCTGTTTCTTGCTTTCACATTTTTGTACTGTATAACTTCTATATTTAGTATATCATAGAAAATAATTTGGAATATTCTTCCCCAGAAACAGCTGCAGAATTAGCTGTCCATTAAAAACACTCCCTCAAGATTTTTTCCTATGCAAAAGTAGACTTATTACCATTATTGTTTATTACACCCACTTGTTCTGCCTGGTGTCCTTCCAGTCCTTTTTATCATCTAAAAATGTCACACAATCGATACTTGCATGGCAGCAGTCTCTCAGGCCAACACCAACTTTCTGGAAGACTTTTATGGGGACACTGACAAGATGATGGGGCTTTCAGCAGCATCCCAGGAGAAGCCAGTCCTCGTATGCTGCAGGGCAACACGGAGCAGCAGACAGGAGTCGAGAGGGATGGAGGAAAGGCAGCCGGCTTCCGTGCTTCCTCTCTTCCCACCAAGGCCCGAGTTATTTTCTTAGCAGTACGTTAAGTGCACTGCATTTGGCTGGTGGGAGCTTTTGTGTGCCATCTCTTAATTCCTCAGACCTGTGAGGCAAGGGTGGTTTCAGCTGCCGCACGTCGCTGGTGAGGAGCACCCGCCGTTCCTCCTTAGGGCCGCGGGAAGGAGACGGGGGCACCCGGAGAGGCCCGGCCACCGGCCCCGCCGAGGACGGCCCCGCTCCATGCTCCGCGCCCAGCTGCGAGGCCGAGAGACACCGCGGCACCGGAGGAGGCGGCACGGTGGGGGCTGCCCGGAGGGCGGGAAGCGCGGGGCGGGCTGTCCCTGTTGTCACCTCAGCCAGGGCTCCGCGGGGCCAGGGGGATTCCATTTTAGCGCCTTAACAGGTTTTTAAAATGCGGAGAGGCCGGATTAAATCTTACATTGGGAACCAGCTGGCACACAGGTTTTGTGGAAACCAGCTCTCCCGACCCCCGGCGCGGCAGGCAGTGCCACCCTGCCCCCGGCGGGCACCTCAGAGATGTGAGGCGAGGCCGGGCCCGGCCTCCAGGCTGCCTGGCTGACTTGCACTCTTGCCAGGGAGCTTCGGTGTCCCCAGCTGCACCACATGAGCCTTACTGAAATAGAAACGCCTGCCAAGCTGGATATCCAGGAATGTTTTCAGAAGAGTGAAATGCAAACGTATACGAAAAGAGCTACTGCTCAGGCCCGCGGCATGGTAGGCCGCTCCAGGCTGGGCAGGAGGCCTGGGGCAGTCTTCCCAAAAGTATCTTAGTGTTACAGGTGCACAGTGACAAATGTGCTCTTTGAAAATAGGGCAAATGTTCCTTAGTCGTTTTAAGTGCTTTTAGGAATGTTTTTCTGAAGTCACTTACTACGCTGCTCTCCCTGTTATGCCTTATATAGGAAGCCCTCTCAGATGCAGATTCTTTAAAGCCATTTAGGTATCTAATTGCCATCTTAAATGAGTTCAGTGGTAGTGGGCACCTGTGTACATTTTGGAGAACTGGGTAGTGCCTTGGTTTTTAATCAGATCTTTAATGGATCTGTGTGCCTTAAACATTTCACCTCTGTAATTGTCAGGTAATATTTGTCACCATTCTTTTTCCAAGCTTTTCAGAAGGTGGCAGCTGAGATTCCAGTGCAGAGCCTTTAAACACTTGACGAAAATGACAGAAAGTGGTGGGCAGGAACAGTCAAGATGGATAACAACAGTTATTATGAGTACAGCTCTGCAGGTACAATACCACTTGTCAAGCAGCATCTGACTCACTAAGAAATGCTGGAAGAAGCATTTCCTATATTCTATACGTGGAAATATTTTATGCAATGTCAATGAATATAATTTTTTAAGGATAAAACGGTGACATTAGCCTGAAGTTGTTTCTACTATAGTACTGGTTCTTTTTGTGTGTGTGTGTTTTTTCTCCTAGCTGCTTCTGTACCTATTTAGTATTCTTGCCACCTGCTATTCTGAGTTACACTGCTTTAGGATTGTCCTCCTGACTCATCATTTTTGCACTGCCCTGATGCTGCTTTCAATTAGCCCTATGAATAATTCCATCAGAAATGTTTTTAATTTTATGGATTTCTCCCTAAACACTTTGTTTTCTACTCTACAGTATCAACATTGAGGTAGATTATTACTCAGTAAGTATGTAATTCAGTTTAAAATAGTGACTCTTATAGATATTGATGTATATTTATATCCGTTAATATCAGAAGCCTGGACTGTGTTCCTCAGTAAAGTGAAAGGGTTCGTCAAGGAGCTGGTAATTAGTTCCTGCAGCTGAGACCAATTTCATGCCAGCTGGAGAGAATTTAGAGGCAAGAGGGCTTTGATTCACAAGCAAGGATATCTTATGCTGGCTTGGCTGATAAGGTTATCACCCCATCTCTGCTCTATAAATGGGTGAATGGTGTTGAAGTAATTCCTGAATCACCTTAGTTTAAAGCCTGTTCTTATTTGCCTGCTTGTCTTGGAATGACAGCCTGTAAACTTCCAGTTTGGGAACTGCTTCAAGAGCAACTTAATCCATAATATGGTGAGAGGTATCGGAGGGCAGTGATCTCATCAGCTATACCAGCATAACTCACTCCTATTAATAAGAGTCCCAGCTCTACTCAAAACTATTGCTGTTGGTAAGGGCTCCCAGTGAGCAAAGGTATGGAAATAGCTGAATACAAATCTAAGATGGTTTTTCTTTTACAAAGGCGTTGCTTTGTATCACTTTGGGTTATGAGCTTTCTCTTTTCCCTGTGCAGCTATCCTTTTCTTATAGCTGTTATTTATATTTGTGCATTAAATAATTCACTGTCAGCAGTGGCTTTGAAGCAGAGAATTTTTCCAAAATTGTAGTTATACCTCATAAGCAGCTGTCATTGAGTGTTCCCTTTCCAGACCCCTTGAAAGCATAACATTTCTGATTACTGTCTCCTTCAGGGTTCACTTGCTATCCTGACTTTATTTTGTACTCTTCCACTAAATCACGACACTTCCCTATGTAGGCAAGTTGGCTACATTTTAAATGGATAGGTTAAAGAACACGTTATTAGCTAAAAAGGATTCAGTGATTTAATTTTTAAAATGTGTGTGTTTGAGCAGCTTCTGTAGAACATACTGCAGAAATGCTTTTTGCAGGCTGAAAAATCCATCCAAACCCACTCCATTCTGTAGATTATTATGTTGCATAGTGCCGTGTTCTACTTTTCCTGAGTGGATTGTGTTCTGTAGAAAAGCTTTAAAGAAAATCATGTCCCATACAGATTTTCTGAACTATCTTCCAAATGAAATGCTGACATCTGTGAAAATAATGCAGTCTAATTAACCGGAGTCATAGAAACACGCTACTGTATGTTCCTCACTTCTGCAAATCCTCCTTTAGCACATCTTGCAAAAATAGACTGTAAAATGTTTGAGCTTCTTTATGTATTATGCAAGAGTTTCCTGTGGCAAACTGAACGTATGCATACAAAATTGTCCTTCAATGTTTGATAACTTCCAATGCAAATATTTCAAAATTTCATTAACTGAAAATGTTTAATTACCATTTTACTACTTTCTTCATTGCAAGTGGAATAAAAAATGTTTTAAACAATGATGCTCAAGTTCTACCTATAATGGTTCAGACAATGCTTTAAGAATATTTCCATCTATGTATCTAACTTGTTGGCTGAGAATGTGTTTTAAAACTAACCTTTTAAAATTTATTTAGAATCATGAAATATCCACAATTCTACAGAGGCAACAACACCGAGTTCGATATTCAGAATCGGTGGAAATTGGATCCGTGATTTTTTCTCTTTCTGGTACAGTACTTTGAAGTTTACGTTTTTAAACTCATAAGCCCTAATGAGGTACGAGATCAAGCCCTGTTGTAGGCTACACTAAACTGCATAAAAGGTGCCTTGTTGGACCGTGGTGTGATAGTGGAAGGAGCTGTGCTGTGATTGCATGTAAACCAGGATGGAACAGAGAACTTTGAGGATGAAACATGTTCATTGTTTTTTACTTTTTTTGGATGTCTTGTAGAACAGCTATGTTAGATTTGGCGATCATCAGCTGAACTGTTTAGTAAATTCTTGTTATACCTGAGCAAACATGTTGAGTGCCACTGACGTGTAAGACAGCCATCAACATTTCTAGTATTCATGGCTGTAAACACAAGAGTGAACCAAGACCCTTGGACTTTCATCTTCCAAGTTGAGTTTTCAGACCTCGTGGTAGCAGAGGAGTTAGGGAAAGGACGCTTTGAGCAGGTTTGATAAGGAAATCACTGAAACTGCAAACATGAAATATCTGTCCTTCCTTTTTAGAGCAGAAGATGCTTTAGACAGCTAGATGAGATCCTTAGGCTGAAGCTTTCCTGAACTATAAGGATTAACGAGGCACACATTGGCCTAGTCATTTGTATCGTTGATTGTTAAGCCTCCTAAACTTCAGCCTTCTTAACTTTCCCTTTCAGAATAACTTAGTTGATGGGGTTATAATTTCATTTTTCATGGTAGACAGTTTAGCTTGCTTTTAAGATGTTACAGGTGTGTTTGTTTATCTCATTTAGAAATGGGACTTGCTGAGCTCTTCAATCAGTCTTTGCATTTGCCCTAAATTCATTCCACCATAGCAGCTGCTTGTTCCTGAAGCGTGTGCTTTCAAAGGCATTCAGATGTCTGTATTTTGAGTAGATTGAATAGTTGGGGTTTTTTTGTATATATTATAGTGGAAAATAACCTGTGAGTTATTTGTAGTTTTATCTTAAAAATACTAGTGATCACTGGCCAAATCTCACGCTTGCATTTCACTTCAAGATGTGTAAATTCATTCATGTGTTTTGTTCCATCGCCTTTTAAACTGCTTCCTGGTTTGTGGTGAGAACTTAATCATGTTACTGCTGTGACATACACATTTATATCAATTTCTTCAATAGGTGTTGCATTTATACTGGCAGACACTCAAGACTTGCTGATGACAGGGGAAGAACAGTTTTTCAAAAGAATTCAGAAGTTCATAAACATTCACCGGAACAGTTTTTTGGTTTTGTCAGCTGCTCTTCATGGACCAGAAGAATGGAATGTCATGTTTCGGATTCAGAGAAGGTATGATTTCAACATCAAACCGAAATTGTTATTGCTAGGAAGAAATGAAGTAGCAGTCCTAGATTTGGGAACGTTATTTTAGGAATTATTTTCAGAATTATTTTCAGGAATATGAATTCTGTTTTGCTAATGCACTGGAAAATTATTGAAAGCCTATGTTTATTGAAGGCAAATGAAAAGAATACTAAGTGAATCAATCTGATGTGTCACAGGTAACAAAAGGGGACGTTCCTCAAAACAGCAAATAACATCCCTTTCAATCACTTTAGGGTTATGTAATTCTTTTTAAAGTTTTCTCTTGAACTGGAAAATTAGGCAATTTTCTTAGCTCTTGTCAGCACCTTTTCATGGTCATTTTCAAAACAGAACAGGCAAGTTTCTTTCATGAGAAAAGGCTTTATTGTAAAGTACAGATTCTTGACCAGCTTTTAAAATCTGTTTACTTGGAACAGTGTCTATTATACAGAGCTAACAATAACAACTGAAATAATCAATGTTATTTTACACCAAAAGTATAAAACTGGACACTAAAGCTTTATCTGTGTTTTCTAATGAAGCCTGAAAACTTGCGTGTTTCTGTACATGCCTGCTGACAGGAGTCATCAGATTGTGCTCCATACTTGGAGTCAAAACTATTTTCTGGTAGGTACAGTAGTCCTAACTGCAGTTGCTTTTCACTCTTGACATCAAAGAAGTGACTAACCTAATGGAGTCTTTGATCTTTACCTCCTTGAAACTAGCACCAGTTTCATTAAATCCTGGGCACGCTGCCAAATGCTGATGAGTAGCAGAGTGTATGGGATGAAACGTAGGAAATCTATTACCCATTTGTGAAAATTCCATACATTTTCATGAGAGGTCTTAAAAGCTCTGCCACCATTCAGCAAGAACACGTTATCCAGCTGCTGGCAATGCTAATTCTCAATCTACTCTGTGGTTATGTACAACAGATTTTGTGCACGTGTTGATCACTAACAAATGTGGTGTTTTGAAACTATGTTCCATTTGGCAAGTCAGTAATTTTATTAAAATAAAAATAATAGTTTTGTCATTGTAGGCCATACCAAATTGATGTCGACAAGGCACAATTATATTTTAGATGCATGTGCTTTGTTACTGCATGGCAGCTTGGAGTTCTGCTACTGTATGTAAATCTGTGACTGAGCTTTTGCATTGGTGGGGTTGAAACTTGTGCCATATTCTCTCAAACTACAAGTCACCTGTTGGATTTGTCAAAAAACAAAGTCCCCTGGTATTTTCCAGTCTCCCTGTATTACTGTTTCTTTCTACTGATCTGTGGTTTTGTTGCAATTGGGAAGGATTTTTTTATTATTATTATTAAGAACATTATATGATCGTTGTTCAACACCATGAACACTTCATATAGGGTTGCATATATCATGGGGGAAGGAGGAGAAAAACAATCTTTATCATCACAGCTCAAATGAGCATTCCACTAATATCCTCAGAAAATCTGTGTGTTAATTTTTAAACACCTTGGAGCAAAGACCAGTCATCTGTTCTAATGGCCAGTATTCTGCCCATTGATCAAATGAATAAAATAAAAATGAAATTTAGAGCTGCTGTAATTGGAAGCAAAACTATTGATAGAAATGGATTTTCGTGATCTAGGTATGTACATGTAATTGTTGCACTTCGTTCATTCACGCTTTGCTTAGCCCATTGCTAGTATTAGCAAAGTTGCATCTATTTATTTTCCTAATCCCTAAATGTAAATCAAACCACAGTTTCTGCACCAGATTTTAGCAAAACTCAAGAGTGACCCGAGTACCTACTCTTAGGGGGGGACGCTACCTATAACATGTATTTTTGCTAACTGGAAGAATGGGCAGCCAAGTGCAGACCAGATATCTAACCAGCATGGGTCTTCAAGTCATCAAACAGACTGAGGGGAGGAACAGGTGGTGGGCACAAGGGGAGGCCACAGGGGAGTATACAATTGAGCAGCTGGGCACTTTGTTTGGATTAAATTTTTGATTATTTAAAATTCCTCATTCTTTTTTGTTAAGGCCCTACTGTGTTCTAGCTCCACAACAGAGAACAGCAGCAATGCTAACTTTGCTGTCGTTGTTACAACACACTTAAGATACAAGTCTTAAGGAGAGGCTCTGTGCTTGCCTAAGCTTTGATCTTTCTCTCTTTCATGACTGCACTGAATGACAACTGACGCTAGTATTTTACATCTTCAGATTCCATTCTCAAGAATGAATGCATATGAATAACATTATTTATAGAAAGAGAATGAATTTTAGGTTAAGTTATTTGAATGGACAAGTATTTACAGGAAATTCTTAGCAGAATTATCCCATTATCTTAATTGCATCTGACGTACAGATTGCTCTATTTAGACAGTACACTACAAAGATTTAGTTCAAATTCTGAAGTATTTTTAGCACAGTGTTTTTAGATACTGTCCTGTGTTCCTCCAAAGCCATTAAAAAACCCAAACATTTGTTTACTGGCACTGAGAACAGTCTTCAACAATATAGCAGAAGAGGGTTTAGTTCTCTCTGAATGTACACGTGCTTAAGAAGTGTTGATTGATTGATTGATTGATTGTCAAAGAGCCCTAGAAAGAGAAATGAGCCCTTCCAAATCCCACCTAAACAAGTGACACAGAAATGGGACAGATGGCTATATGAACAGCATAAACTCTCCAGTTGCCTTTAAAGATAAAAGCAATCTTCTATGTACTTGTGGTGAAGGCACAGTAAGAAGTTGTTTACATCACGTGGGAATGCTTTGAGTTTTATGGCATCACAAATTAAATGTGCATTCTAAAAGTAACCTTAGCCTTAATTTATTTTGATGTGCAGATTCCTGGGCAGTAATTTACGTCTAATACCAGTTCATAATACTGCTGAAACTGTTAAGTTAATGCTAACTATAGCTAAGGTAAGTCTGGTTGCATATACTTAAAAATATTAGTTCTTCAGAAGTATATTAGCCAGGAAAAGCCAAGAACTACAAAATATTTATTTTTCCTTAATGGAACTTTTTGGGTTATATTGACCACAATCCATGGAATACATTGAGGTAAGACTGTTACTCTCATGCTTTAGCCGAGTCCTTAAACTATTGGTAAGGGTAACTTTAAAAGCTCTTAATAGCATCTATGAAGACAAATTAGATATTTAAGAGCTAATTCGGCTCTTAAGTTAAGATGTCTTTACTTCATTTACTAGTGCAGAACCAGCATGAGATCTAGATATGTAATGACTTCAACTTAAAGTAAAAATGCCAATCTGAAAACTAGCTACTTGTGGATTTTTAATGATGCACATACTAGTATATTATTTCTACAGCTTAATGAGTGTAATTTATCTGTGTATCTCCAATGTATCCTGTATGCATCAGCACATTATTAATTAAATCTGTTTACTGAACCTCTTTAAAGAACATTTTTCTATGAAAATTCTAACTTAGATAGTAACTGTAACAGTACTAGCAGCATCCCATGTACCAAAAATAAAAAGAGGAGGTTGAATGACATGTTAGGAATCAAACATGAATTTACATTTTGTCCTTTCCTGAAGCGGGCATCTCAAAATAATAAGCGTTAACCTATTCAGAGTATTCATCATTTTAAGAGTGTGTAAGCTACATCTCACTTACTATATGGCAAATGTTGTTAAATTCTTATGACAATGTTGAACATTGTACTTAAACTTTTTATGGAATCTACTGATGTTTGGCCCAATCTCTTATACAGCATTAACCTAAAAGCTTTCAAGATTACTGCTGATCCTATAAACTTGAATTTACTTTTCTATTTGTTTGGAGTGTTTACACTAAACTTCAACAGGAGAGCCCCTTAATAAGTGATGATAGTATATACCACAAATCTGTCGGTTGCCATTGTATTATTTCTTACCGATGCAGTGCAAAGCCAGTTTAAAGAGCTCATCTTTTGGCAGAGAATCCCTAACTGGTATAGGGCCTGAAAAATGAACTCTTTTGCCACAGGTTAACAGACATGGCCAAGGGAACAATACCATCCAACTAATCCTGAGCTACCATACCTGACTTGTGCTGAAATACTATCCAGATATCAGATCCAATGCTGACAGGGCAGGTTATTTTAGGACTGGTCTTGCACCTAAAGGAATAGAGCAAGTCATCTCTGTGTGCATCATTCCTGAATATCTACTTCAGAAAACATGATTCAAATTTAACTGCTGAATAATTTTACATTTGTACTATTTGAAAAATAAGATGTTGCATACTCTGTTACCTAAGAGTTAGTGTGTCCTACTCATAATGTTTTTCTTTTCTCCAAGATAACTTCCAAGCCACGAGCAGATGATATTCGATACAAAATGGCAATGATAAAAGCCCAAATAATAGAAAACAGTCCAGTTTGGAAGATGCGTCAGGAGTACCAGTTGCATTGTAATTAATTTAGTGTTTGGGTTTTTTATTCATAAATAGCGTGGCTACATTTTAAACAAAATATAGAATGTTCTTAAAAATATAGTTACATTTCCAAAGACTGTATATACAAACTTATGCATTTGGAATGAAAATTTATATTAAATAACTATACAGTGGAAAATAACATACATTATACCAAATGTGCATTCCAAGAAAAAAAAAAGTGATTTAACTGCACTATAGAAGAGACATCCTTGTTTTTAACTTGATTCTGAACCTATGAGCTCATCTGTTTATAATAATTTCCCAAAATATTTAATATATCTTAAGGAAAACTTTATCATGAAAGATAAGGATGACCAAAACAATTCCAAAATATAGGTTTCCCATGCATAAACAGGTATATGTATGAAATCTTAACACTTGTGTTTAAAAAACACACTGTATACCTGTTGTGTTACTAAGTTTTAACATCTTATTTGGCTCAAAGTTGACATGTTTTTCTTTAAGCCTGGTTTCCTTTGCCATAGTGTTTCTACTATTATCTATCTATACCTTACAGTCCTGTTTGTAAACGCAGAAGCTTGTTTGTTCAACATTAAAAAGTGCTAATAGAAATACCTTGTGCTTAAACAGTGCTTTTTAATTAATGGTTCTCCAGCCATTTTATAAAAATCTTTGTAATTCACAACACCAGTCAACAACTCTTATCTAACAAATTTTGAAAATTAACAGAAAAATAAATGCACAACCATACCTCCCTGCCACAGCATAAGAACAAAAAAATCCCCTTGTTTTTAGTTTCTAAACTGAAGAAAAAGCATCAAAGTCTGAAGAGAAGTACTTCAGTAAATAGGTCGGTCATCTCTCTGAATCACGTACAATAGCAAAAGAAAATAAAAAAGAACAGCAACAAGCCTTATGGAAGAGCAGCATTTGCAATTCTTCTAGAGGAGCCCACTCTACATTGCTCTTTTTCAACGGGTGGTAGCTTCCTTTTCAACTAAAGCCTCATAGTCAAAGTGATCTTGTTAAGTAGTACATTAATTCAAATACGTCAGCTGACCTAACTATTTCCATCCATTACAGCTTTTATTTTCACTTCAATGAGTTCTTCAACTCGAGCTAGAACACTTTCTATTAAATCAAATGTGAAGAGAGCCGAGTGTAAAACCTGAAATGACAAAAGAGATTAATGTTATTTTTATTAGAAGAATTTTTGTTTGTTTTTTCCCCACTGTACATGTACATTTGTCTCCAGATTCAACACTTCTGGATAACTTTGAAGGAAAAGCAAACTCACCTGAAGCTGCATTTCAGTAGTCATGGCAGGCATCTTTTCCCCACCAACAGTTACAGAACAAACTGTGTTAGAACTATGGGCCTCTGTAGAAGAAAATAACCCACCAGAGATCAGGCTGCTGTTTCACATAACTTTTAGAATGAAAAGAATATTTTATATATTAGCATTTCTAGACAGTAATTGTTGAAAAACACAAAGCTAGGGATTGACCAAACACAGGGCTGAAGGTGCTGACCCATAAGAGGAAGACAGTTTTGAGCTGGATGCTGTCTCTACACTTTCTATATCACATATGACTACATTACTAAACAGGCAATATCTGCAATTCAAAACAGTTTTATACAGCTAAAATGCTCCTTAAAAGGAAAAAAACCTTAAATCTCATCTTTTTTTGGATACATTTTTAATATTTCCACATCCAGAGAGATAGAAGAAGGTTTTTAGCTTGACTTAATGAATCCAGACATGAAATAGTTATTTTATTAAGAAAAGGCTGCAGGCTTCTCTGTTTCAGGCAAATTATTTGTAGCTGGCAAAACTACAAGGACAAGTCTGAAAACTAAGAGGAAAAACTCCTACATTCAGACCATATATTTGAAATTCAGCATAATACTTACAAAGATTAGTTTTTTTCCCCCCAATGTATAAACCATTTACTATGAGCTAGATGTTCTCTCCTGAACTCGAATCTCTTTATGCTTTGTCAAAGGCTAGAGAAATGTAAGAGGGACTTACAGAAAAAGCTTCCTGATTCATTTTAAAGGATTCCCTTTAGAAAGATATCCACAGGTTACCTTCACAAAAATTCCCCTTCTCTGCCTCATACAGTTTACAACAACAGAAGAAGGTATTTCTGATATAATCCTTCAGATATTATTTCTTCTCTTGTTAACCTTCCCACACCTAGTATGAAACCTAAGGGCTATATGTTCACAGAGAGACTTAGATGCTCCTGTCTAACCTTAAAATCAAAAGCATAAATGCAGAACAAGCTTTGAAGATCTTCATGTGACATTTCTATCAGGTTTCCATAAGGTTTACAAATATGATGAGAGATAAACGAGTTCAGATTTTTCTGACCAATTACGAAAATTATTAATAGCAAATATAGCAACTACTGAATTATTTGAAATTTGGAATAGTGTCAACAGTTAAATAAAACATGATCTATACAGCACTCGCCAATTTGTTGTTTCCAAAGGATTTCCAAAGTTTCTAAATATGAACAAAGCAAAGAAAAAAAGAAAACAACTAACCTCTTCTGTTTTCTTTCTTATTCTTTATTTCTGCTTCATAGTGCGCTTTTGACATATTGAGTCCTACATGCAGTGGTTTTAAAAAATTTTGCTCAATCTTGGCAAGCGTGGTCCATACACCAGTCTATTCAAACACAAGAGAGAAGGTCACAAATTAGTTTTAATGGAGCATTGCAACGCTAAGTTTTTGAGCATGAGTTTTTGGACTAGTCTTCATAACATATGCTTCTGGGAGGAAAAAGAAAAAAAGAATTTAGACTCATCCATTTAAGCATGAATAGCATCATGATGGACATTTAAGGTCGTCGCCCTCTCTCTTACATTTTCAACATTATTTGTTGAAACTTGGAGGATGAAGCAGACAAAAAAAAAAAACGGAGCAGGGAGAAACCTAGTGTGGAGGCTGATAACTACAGCAATGGAAACGCACATTGTCAACTTGTTCTTGTACACAAAGCTGAAAGGATCTTGGCATGTTGGGGGAGGTACTAGCTACTTTCTCAGGCTAGAATCTCTACAGTGAGTAAACAGCAGTTGTAAATTCCTCTGAGATAATTCAGCAGCAAAATGGCACAAATATTTAAATTCATGTTCCCAAATTAACACTGTATTGCTATGCCAAATGAAAGCTCTGATAAATGTCATGCTCCCCAAATATAAGGGTCTTGTCTATATTGCATTCAGTTGAAAAAGCCTTGTAGGAATGTAACTGGATATGCTACTAGCCCATCCTTAGGCGCAGTAGCCAGTGACACATGAACTTCTCCCCGCTTTGGTATGGGTGAAAGGAGTTGCAATGATGGCACTCAGGAAGGAAGAGATACAAGGCAAAGATGCTCAAAAGCAAGGCTGTTCGCAGTTACACAGCACAAGAGGAAAACTTCTCTGCCTTGGCACCTTATAAGCTTGTAGTTACAAAACTGCTGTAGAAGGAAACAAATATAAAGCAGTCTTTGTGTCTTTAGATATAGGAGCCATTTATATGACTCCTTTCTTCAGGCAGTATCCTCAAAGGGCAGAGTAAGGACGACAAAAATAAGAATTCTCAACGTCAAATAGTATTGTTGATTACAGCGGAAAATTCACCAAATTTTAATGCTAAATGACACAAAGTTAACTGGTCAAATAAGAAAACCGGTAATTACTTCCACCACAATGGGGCTAAAAATGAAGAACTAACTTTCCAGAAAAATACTGATTTTTAAACTTGATTAATGAAAGTGCTTGTTACACAGCAATCAAAATATCTGAACTGACATGAAAGGAAGCATTTTCTTTCTGCCCCGCTTGCACTATATGAAGGGAGACAGGGAGGAAGTCAAGAAGAACTGGCAGGGCTTAAATTTAAGGGAAAACTTCAGAAGAGGTGATGCTATTTTCTCCTCAAACTGTAGGGACATTCTTTATGCCAGGTACTAGAGAACATTGTTACAGCAATTGTGCGCTACTAAGTATAAATTTTTAATCATAATAAAAGAGGAATATTCTCTTTTGTTATGAAGCTATGCATTTACATGAAACTGAGTGGACCATAATGAGCACTTAAATAGTAATCACTCTGTAAATCTGAGAAATGGACATAGTCTATCGATACTAACCAATTACATAAATAGTAAATTAGAAATGCACCAATTGAAAGCTATTTTTACTATTCATTTTCATTATGGTTTTGGTAATCAGTGCAAGCTACATTATTCTTCTACTTAGACTAATAACATCATTAGGCACTTATAAAACTTGTGTTCATAGATCTCAAAGTGCTCTAAAAGCAGATTAGAATTTTTTGTGTTTTAGAAAAGAGAAAATTATATGCTGAATTCTATTACTCCAAATCATAAAGAAAGTCAAGGAACTGAGGGAGAACAACAAAACACCTTAGGATGCTTGTCTGCTGGTTAGAATATTCATCTGACCATGATATCGCTTATTCAAGTCAGGAAAAGCTTTGCTGTACTTTAAAACAGAAAATCAATTTTTCTTTAAAGGGTCACCAATTTAAACAACTATTTTAATGCAAAAATGAAAACATTTAGTACTAAGGAGATCATAGAACGGTTTGGGTTGGGAGGGACCTTTAAAGGTCATCTAGTCTAACCCCTCTGCAATGAGCACGGACATCTTCAACTAGATCAGGTGATACTTGTTCGCTGCGTGATATAGTGGATAAAAAGCTACTGAATTGCATAAATTAGAGGAACAGTGGAACACAATGATTTGAAAGAGTCAACAGTTGCATTTACTATTAGAATAAGTAGCCATTTGGTAGTGGAATGTGATTGGAAAAGTAAACACCAATAATTCCATTGGCTCTTCAATGCTGTAGCGACACAATGCAAGTCAGAGCACTTATAAATCTAAAACACTGCTAGAATATGGAATCCATATATGGACCCAGTTGTTAAATTCAAACAAGTTTCCCCTTCGAGTATCCAGGACCACATTTCCATCAACTGCAGGTGGACAGGACTGACCGTACACAAAAACAGCAGATCCATCATAATATAGAATCGTCAAGGTTGGAAAAGACCCTTAAGAGCATCGAGTCCAACTGTCAACCTATCACTGCCAAGTCCATCTATACCATGTCTTCAAGCACCGTATCTATCCGTTCTTTAAATACCTCCAGGGATGGAGA